AGCTTCAACTTTTAAGGATTTAACAGATCCACCGAACGGACAGCTGGAAAAGATAACTGATTTAATATATTTTCTTTTCCAAGAAATTGTACGCTGCTTTAAAAACGCTAAGGCATATAAGCATCCCATACTATGCGGATGTAGAACAACACGTCGCTGTTTCGCATTTTCATAGGTTTCTTCAATTAGTACTCTTAGATTTTCAAAAAACTGAGCATTTTCGTCTAAGGAGTAGGAAGAAAATACGAGTGTATACTTCTTAGAAAAATTGACAAATACTTGGAGCCTTTCTAAAGTCATATGGTGCACCTCTCATTGTGAAGTTTGATACATAATATGGATCCTTCTTTAGGACATAGACTAAAGAACCGAAGTATTCTGAGAAAACATTTGGTGTTTCATCTAAATTTTCAATTGACCATGTTTCACCCCATCCAGGAAAGATTACTTCAACTCCTTCAGTATCTTCAGTTCGACCAGTTGTTGGATTATAATTCAACCTATGAAAGGTATTAGATACTATGCTCCAAAAAGTGTATATATAATAACCAACTTAAAATAATCAGAAAAGCGTTTAATGAAAACAAAAAATTTCATATTTAACCATATCGGTAAAGGTGTACGACTAGGATCATTTTTGAAGATTGCAAAAGCTTGACTACCCGCAGTACCAGGGATCATAACAAGTGGATATTGTCCATTGTCTGTTGGCTCCGATTCAGCTTTTCCGTTCACTTTTAAATAATCATTGATAATGAATAAGATAAATATTAATAACTATAATATATTAGTCGTCTTTTTGGCAAGACAAAAGGAAACCTACTGAATTTAAGTGTAGAGGGAATATATTCATCTCTCCAATATTCAAAATAATTTGCGCATATAAGTATATATATATATATATATATATATATATATATATATATATATATATGATCATTTTTGTGAATTTTTGGTATGTTGAAATAGATTAAGTCATTAGATGTACGTCAGCTGTTGAGTATTAGGCATGTTTAAATTCCAAGTAAACTTCGACTATCAACTTTGATCTTCTGGTAGTGATTTATTTTTCGAACAAGAAAACAGACTTTAATGCTAATCTCTGAAAAATTGTAGCATTTATTGTTAAACTTTATAATAATAATTATTATTATCATCACTATTATTAGAATGCCTAAATCGATTCAATTTATCTTTACCAAAAAACTCTAATTATTGCTTAAAAACTTATCACCAGGTTATATCTGATTTTCGATAATGAGAGACAAAGTTCAGCTTCTAAATACAACGGTATACTCATATTTAATAAAGCTTTTGTAAGCTATCATCTATTAAGACCTTTTTATAGGGGAATTCGACAAACATAACTGTTAAATAAGGCATATGTATTATACACTGAGTATTAATGCGCGGGAAATAGCAGAGTTGCTTGCCAATTGTATAATTCAAGGTGGAGTTTCACTGTGAATTACTATAAAACCTGAAACATCCAAACCACATAATATAATCTGACTGGTGTTCACATCGCCGCATATACTACTGGTTGTGACTAAGTAGTAGCTGACTAAAACTTAATTGACTCGAACACATTAAGTTCATTAAACTGAGTAAATTTGATCCAGACACTGTATGATTGATGTGATGACTGCTGTCTACGCAAATATTCAGTTTGGCTAGAAGATAATATTGGTTAGTATAAATAGTGACTAGCTAGGTGTATTTTGATTGGACACTAGTAACTTGTGTGAGGCATGTAGTCCTTTCTTTGGTGCAGACTGAATTCTATCAGTCAGCTTTTGCAATGTGGCCACCATTCAAGGTGGCTTGCCATCACGGTGCACATTGATCTGATGATATATTAGATAGTTGGAGGCAATCGGCAGGAAGCCATGGACCAAGGTTTTGTGCTAGTTGTCATTCATCAGCAAGGCGTATCTGCAATCTTGAAAGAACTCATGTTCCTTCTATGCCTTCTTGCTGTCATTCTTGATAACATTTATCATGTCACACATACATATAATGTTTTAGAAATTCCTGTTTTTCAACGAATCTAAAGAGCAGCTTATCTGTAAGCTGTGCAACTTGCAGAAACCTGTTTTCATATATTATTTATTCAATTATTTTTATGTCAACCGACGATGAATGTTTCCGTACATGCAACGAATTAATGCCTCCTATAACATTTTAATTATAGTTATTAACTAGAGGAAGAAAGTTGAAGTCAAAAGACGCATTCTTCACCAATTTACTGTATTGCTAATATTGTGGTGGTGTGATACAGAAAATGTCTGCCAACAGAATATGATTCTCCCGTATTCTCACAGTTGAATACTGCATTAAAAACAGAATACTATATGTGGATTTGAACATTCTATTTCATGTCCTCTAATGTAAACCGAAATCACACGCTGAGTGATGGTTAATGAATATAAACTGTAGATATATCGACAGCGGTTTGATCACTTGAAAATATGCCTCGGCTTCCGTATCTTGCCTGCTGTTGTTACAATATAGTTTTCCAGCGTGGATTTTTATGAACCACACATTGTCTAAAGCTGTAGAAAGTTACAGATTAAGCCAACAAGGTAAAACTGTTAGACCTCTCTAGTATGTGTATACCTTGTTATTTCAAATTGAATATCACTTTTATTCATAGTATATGTCACATAAGAATATCTAATTACAATGTATACATACTTAGTATTTGTTTAATGAACACGTAGATACCTGTATTACCGTTCTTTATTAAGTATTTACTGCATTTTACAGTATTTTCGATGATTCTTAGGTAGCATAAACTAACTGAGAGAAATATTTAGAAGATATCTTTACTACTCGCAACTGCTTATTATATTAAAAGTGAGGTAAGCTGTACAGAAATGAATCTTTCTTAGTGCCCCTACCACGATAGCTAAATAAACGTGGAGTCAAAATAACCAAATATTAATTCTCAAGGGTTAGTTCCAAGGGATTTGATTTGTTTTAAGTTTGACCATAGATTAATATCAGTTGGAGAAACACTGGAAACCAAGGTATGCTTTATAGCATTTTCGTCCTAGTTCGGGGTTCATCACCAGTACGCACACCCTGGGGTTCGAACCCTAGACCTGACAGTTACAAGGCAAGCTCGTAGACCATTCTGCCACTGGGACCCGATTCAGTGGCTCATGAACTCTAACTTGTAATAGTTCCTGATTTTAGCACGACCACCAACCACTACCATCGGGCGAGTATTGGTCCTCATTCCGGACTAGATGAACCCAACAGGTAATGACTTCTGGCTATAACTCCAGAGAGCTTTGTCTTGTAGCCAGTTTCTAGTGGTTCTCTAACTGATACCAATCTATGTTCAAATTTGAGATAAATATTAATTAAATAAACATACAGTCAGCCTGTAGGTACTTTGGGTGTTGTAAGTCTTCTTTTAACGTGTAAGCATTCAACTAGGCTTGAATGCCATTTTGAGCTTCCCTTTTGCGCTGGTGACGCACAAATCCTCAGAGTCTGTAGTTCAGCTACATTAGCCTGATGAGTCCAAAAGCCTTTTCCCAAAAATAGTCTCCACATTTACTTATTTAAATATAATGTGTGTCAGAGCATATTTCTAAATAACTGAGTATTTTAGTTTCATGTTTTATTAACAGTGGTTGCTGGTTTGGACAGGTAGTGACTAAGTAGTCACTTGTGCAAACTGCATTCAATAAGACTGGTATGGTGTGACATATTGAAAATACAACCAATTCCTTATATTCCCATGGAAACATTTTTTTGAGGAAAAATAATTCTCCACCTTTCACTTCATCATGATCAAGTGGATGCAAAACTTAAATTTATGAATCTTTAGATTTCCAGTTTATCGGATTTTATGTATTCCAGTAATATGCCACTTTGATCAGTAAAATGTCTCGGTATTTTGAAATATAAAGAATGCTGTCAGTTTTGTAGTTCTCTCTGCGCGAAAGAAATAAAATGTTTTTGTCTTATATCTCAGAGAAGGAGAAATTATCAAGTTTTATGTGTTTTTAATGTATATGACGCATAATAGTCGAACGTTGATGATGAAATTAATATCCGACACCTTTGATAAATGCATTCGACTAGAAAAGAGATTCGAGACTTTAGTAAAAATATGATAAAGTAGCAAATATTTTAGTGTCAAGATAAGCCCACTGATGTAAGAAAACTTGTTCAAGCTTTACCATCAAAATGATAGAAACCAGGGTCAAACGTATATGCTTTGCCTTTGAAGTATCTATATAGGACTCAAGTATAGCAATTCACCTTGTGATGGTGTGATACAGACAATGGGTTACAACGGAATACTATTCTCATAGTAAGAATTATTGTATTTGTTGGTGTTAACGTCTGTGCGTCGGTGGCACAGTAGTTAGGACTCTCGCCAACCATGCGCATGGTCCGGGGTTCGATTCCCTGTCGACGCACACCTGATATCTATGGTTCGCCTGCGAAATTTGGGCTACCAATATCACATGCTGAAAATTCCATACTTGTACCAAAAAATACAGTATGGAATCAAGCTGTAATCAAAAAAAATTTCCACAGTTCACTTGTGCATTAGCAACAGAATACCATATGTGGATTTGAAAGTTATATTTCATGTCCTTCAGTGGAAACCAAAATCACACGCTCAATGATTGGTTAATGAATATAAACTGTAGATATATAAACAGCGGTGTGATCACTTGAAAATATGCCTTGGCTTCCGTGTCTTGTCTTCTGCTGTTACAGACCGATCAGCAATATTTATTGAATTTTAAACTAAAAGAGGAGGTCCTTAGGGTTTCTAGAAAGCTTTACTGATGAAATTCATAGAAACATTTCAAATTACTGGAGCTTTAGCTTCAGGGATTTTTCGGCTCTCTTAAAACGTCTTTCAACATTCCTATGGACACAAGCCTGTTTCACAAGTAAGCAACACTATTGCAAGTGGTATTAATTTGTGAAAGGCATTTATCATCTCATAGAAAACATGCCACGTCAATCTAATTGAAAAACACTTGTATTTATTGATGAGCGAAATTCACTACAAATCACTGTTTTTAACGTAGCTACAAAAGATCAGCAGTAGTAAATCAAAATAAATGTCGCCAAAATGTGAAAAAGAAGAAATTAAGAGCATCGGAAAAAAAACAAAAACAATAAAGAACCTCCAAACTATGCCTTCTAAAGAGTACGGTACAAAATTTTCAAAAAATAAGATGATATGCATTTCAAAAGTTGATTTTTTAAGAGAATTAACTATTGTCTTCAAATTCACAGCCATTAAATCATTTGGACATAATCTAGCCACTGCAATTCACCTCTTCTGTTATAACTAACCACTCTTCAACACACTCAATGCGCAGTAGTAGTGGTCGCAGTTTTTGGATCACATACAAAACTGCAAGTTACTTTCTAAAATTTGGTAAAGTGAATTCGGTGACTCAACACTAATCGTTTGCTTTGTATCATTTTCCAGAAAAATTAAGTGGTCCAATAGAAATCCTGTTGTCACGTTTGAACAGTAATTTTTCAAACCATCAAGAATTGTTAACTCGCCAGACTGATTATTCTCTGTGATCCGTTTTTGATAAAGATAATCATAGGCTGTGTGAAATTCTTGTATTCCGAGTTTTTCAACGCAATAACTGAAATGTAAAGTGAATAAGAATTATAATTTCGGCGGAAAAGACTAAAACTATCAGAATATTCATATAGAATTAGATCACTTTGTAGGGTATCTGCACAAAACAAAAAAATAAACTCAGTAGCAAATTTTTACAAAGAATGCAGAAAATTATTAAACTGCCGGTACTTCCACTTATGCTATCACCTTAAAAGCAGAGCTTTGATTCAGTTGTCGTGGCATCCAGCTGTCCTCCAATTCGTCTAATTAACGAGTTGGAATTGTCAGTTTTCTGTAAACATATATGATTTACAGACTGTGCAAGCAAATTTCAGTTGATTTTTCTTCTGTTCTGTTTCACGAAGCATTGATGATTAACAAATCATCAGTTTTATTGAAAGTAACAATTTTATTTGAAATATATATAGAATATACTGCCTGTCACTACTTTACTTAAAAATCCTCTACATATACTCTAAAAATTCTCTGCCATTTGTATACATGTTGTGCAGAATAAAGTTGTTCTCACTAAATTCTTTATGAACTGGCAAACTAATGGCTAATGATACAAACTAATGACACAAAACGTCGCCCGTAAGAAACTGGATTCAGGAAAGGCAAATCATTTGCTGATCAAATCGCAACTCTACACATCGTCATCGTCATCGAACAGAGCAGAGAATGGCAGTCAAACCTCACTCTACCTCAACTTCCTTCATCGACTTCGAAAAGGCCTTTGATAGACAGCGTTGAACGAGAAGTAATTTGGAAATCGCTTCAACACTACGGCCCGCAGTGCCTAAGTCTTTATCAACCTCATTCAATAGTGGGCTATATGACAATCCCACGTGGCAGGGGACCCACAACAGGAAACTCAACAAGGCGTTCGAAGTCAATACAGGAGTAAGACAAGCTGGTTGCCTATTATTATTATTATTATCGATGATGATATTCTTAATTGTGGTGTACTGGATTATGCAAAAGACTGTGTGTGGGGAGCGAGGAGACAGGAATACGCTGGATCAGCGATAAGGAGACTCTGAAAGATCTGGATTTCGAGAGTGGATGATATACGTCTAATGTCACACACACTCAAAGACTTAGAGGCAGGCGAAAACCAACAAACTGGCTGAAGAGGCTGGTTGTCAGAGAAGACAGGACTGCAGGTGAACATAGAGAAGACGGAGGTGATGAGGATAAACAAAGAACCGCAACAACATCAACAATAGCCAGCAGCGATCACCATCAACGGTAGAGATTTAAGAGAGGTTATCTCCTTCACTTATGTGACTGGGAAGCATAGTTTCAACTACAAGCAGACTACACAGATGAAGACGTCAAAACCTACCAGAATCGGAATGGCAAGATATGCCTTCATCAACCTGAAACCAGTGTGAAAGTCTTCTGCACTCCCCCTCAGCATAAAAAACAAGGTTCGGATTCTCAACACAAATGTGAAGTCAGTCAGTTCTTCTATACATGTCAGAAACTCGCAGTGCGTGTCATGAAAAGGATTTCCAACAGGCTACTGCAGGCTTCTATGAATAGCTGCCTTCTATGACTCCATACTGAAGACCAAATGACCAGAAAGAATTAGCAACAAGAAACTCTGGCTGGGAACAAACCAACAGGCGAGAGTCGATTGTTCAACAAATATGTAACAGAAAATTGAGATGGATTGGGCATAGGTTGAGGAGGCCGTCGAATGACATCGCGCACAATGCAGGCCATTGCCCGAGTGGAACCCGAATAGGAAGCAACGAGTGGGTCGTCGGTGTGAAGGTAACATGGAGGAGATCGTGCGACGAGAAGATGAGAGATTATGTTTAGTGGTTGACCCAGCTAAAGAGGACAGCAGAAAATAGAAGAAAGTGGGGATGTGTTGTTGAAGCCCTATTTTCCACTCGGAACCCAAGGGAATAATAAAAATAATTTAATAATGAACTAATTATGCTTTATAATGTTTTTGACTTAATGAATGTTTTGCGTTCCGAGCGGAACATAAGGAGTTTTCAAATTGTGAATTCTCACCAGCGATGATATCGTTCTTTATTACTCGGCATGGGGGTTGCTAGCCTTATATCCAGCTTTCTGTCTTTTGCAGGGTTGGTATTAGGAGGTGGACTAGGCGAAGTTTGGGAGTGCACTGATCGGGAATTGAAACCTCGACCAAGTGTGTGGCTGATGCGCATTTTCAACCATTGAAACACTGACTTATATTTTTTGTGACAGTTAACACTTAAAAAAGCCGTTAAACTTTTATTCAATATAAGAGGCAATGAATGACAAAATCTTACTGTTCTATTTCACATATCAATTCACTATAAGATGTGGCTTACTCTTGCAGTTTTGCTATCCATCAACTAAAATTAAGAAATATACATGAGCCTACAAAACCAGAACAGTGCACTTAATCATGTTGAAAAAGTAATTGACTATGAGAGAGGCTATACAGTTTCTTGTTTCACGCATTAGGCGTCATGCCTATAGCTTATTAAATAGTCAGTAGAACAACTGGATCTCGTCTTTCTAGCTCATTTCATTTACAGGCACAACGTTTTCTTTTCCTTTTCTTTCTCTTTTTTCTGTTATGTACTGCTTTGTTTCTTTCTTCCTTACTAACTCTATTAAAACATTCTTCGTTCTCTCACACTCTGTATATCTCGACCTTTTTGTTACCGCTTACGCCAGTAAATATGCCAACATCTACTTTTCTAACACCAAACACTCTATTCAATTTAGGCTTTGCTACCGACATACCAATATGTTGTTGTCATAATGAACTGAGATTACCCTTAATCTATGTGAAATTTTATTTTTATTGATAACGTACTAACTGGATGCAGTACTGTAGTAAAGTGCTGAGAATTCCATTCTGTATCACAAGTACTGTTTTGGATTAGAGCAAATTATTATTATTATTATTGTTAAATGGAGTGCAGCATCTTCAATGAAATTTTAATTATCAAGTAATACATACTCAAAAAATCGTTGGTTTCTTCACAAAGGTAAACCTTTTGGAAGTTAAGTATTAATAAGCAGCACACAGTGGTAGCTTTATGAATCACATCGTCCATTGTACATAATATTGTACAGTATATCAGTCAAACTGCATTCATTATCTGAAGAGAGTATCACATTGTCAAAATGACATAGAAGTTGTCCTTTTACAGGAATAGTAGAGAAGGCCGACAAGCCACGTGAGTCAAACCATAATTTTTGAAGGACCACAGCCAGCCATTTCAATTTTTCTCAGATAGTGTAGTCTACGAAATTTTGTCTTTAGTCTATATTAGTATGTCTTAATGCCTTTTTCCGTAATATAAATAAGACTGTACAGCTTGAAAATGAAGTCGTTGAAAAGATATACTTCTTCACTGAAGAAAAACTGTGTTTTTCCCAATGAATACGAGTATGTGACAGGATCTACTTTGAAACATTAATGATACTGAATGGTAGTGAATAGACACTGTATATTGCCAAAATCACAAAGATCACACAAGATCGTGCATAACACCAACTGCATCAGTAAGTTCAAATTGACGGCTTCTGTATATTTCTATCCTGATATCAAGGAGGCATAAACGAAAGGGAGGCAAATTCATTTTGTCGATTCCTCATATGTCCTAACGCTTTGTTGCTCATACTAATAACACACTAACTTCGATAAGGTGACTAATCATACTTACTTTCTTAAAGTTTCAATCTTTTTCGCCTTAGCTTCTAGTCCATATATACAATTAGTTTCGTCATTTGTAACTAAAGTTTGATCATCTGTATAGGGTGAAATAGACAAAAGAGAATAAAAGAAAACAATTTCTAAGACAATAGAAATTAAAAACTTCATATTTCACAAAGTAAATTACTCACTGATTAGGATTGTACAGACGGTGTGTTTAACTGAAGTTATAAGGTGTACAATCGAGAAAATTCACCTATTAATTTGTCAGAATACTTTACTACAGCCTAAGAAACAGGTTTATCCTTACTGAGGTGGCTTTGTCTAACACCCTGCAATTATTGTGAAGTCGAATACATAAGGCACAGTAGTAGGCTGGATTCAATTAGATTACTGGAACACAAAGCTTAGTCAAGTCCAGACTAGTGAACTCTAATAAGATAAGAAATCTAGAAAAAAGACCAGCCGTTTCACCATATAGAGTTGCACACAACCATAACAATAGGATGGGTCAATGTGACAGTCTCAAAATCTGAAGTAACTGGGTGGAGGAAGAGACTGATAGTTGAAGCTTTGATTATAACATCAACTGAGAGTATATACGGTCGCAGTGATTCAGTACTTGTTCCAGACATCTGGAAAATTCCACTACCTTTACAAAATATGGTAAAAAAGGATGAGAGCTATAAAAATCAAGATTCAAAATGTATAGTTCCAACTGAAATCATTATAAATAATAAATTGTATTCGAAACATTATCCAGTAAATAATACTATTCCACTGTGTGATAATGCGTTGGTGGCACAGCGGTTAGGACGCTCGCCGACCACGCACATGGTCTGGGGTTCGATTCCCGGTGCACTTCTTTACCTCGCTAAGCAAGCAGTGAGACTGGTAAAGAGGAAAGGTTGGGCATGAGGCTAGCAACCTCATCCTGTAAAAATTAACACTGCTACAGAAACTTTAAGCCTCTAGTTTGAGGCCCTATGTTCCACTGGGAACGTGAAGAAAAAAAATTGTGTGATATATCCAATGAACAATAAATAGTGCTCAAGTTTCACTCGTAATATTAAGGATCCATCATCATTGGCATTAAAGAACATATAGCGTTTTCCTATATACACATAGATGTGAGTATTCTCCAGAAGCTGTACTACTAAATACAATTATGCATTTAGATTAAAGGTGTAAATTGTGTATAAACTATGCAAATCACCAAATAGGCAAGATTGATAGATAATCTTATCATATATGGGTGGTGTTTATTTTGACAATGTGTTAAACGTCAGTGACGTCTTGAATCGCTTAAATTATTAGTTTCGTCAGCTTTACAGTAGATCAAATTTTGTTATCATATATTGGTACTCTTCTTTCTGATCTAAATTTTATAATCAGCACCAATTTTGAAACACAGGAACTGTTGCGTATTTATTGTGCTTCTTTTGTAAATTTTAATGGGCATTTTTAATCAATTATATTTATAACTACTGTTATTGTCACTCTTATTATTGTCATTGCTGACATTTCTCATATGTAAAAGTCTTTCAAATAATTCACATATTTCTATGCTAACTCTATCGAAATTGACATTACATCACCTGCTTTGATCATTGCAGAGAAGCCCCCGAGCTTACTTACTGCTGTGCATTTGAAAACAAGTGATATCTTACTCCACCTATATGAGTAACCACATACTATTGAACCAGTACTGTGGCTTATGCTACTGATAAAGTTTATCAGTAATATATAAAGAGATGCTCATCGGCATAAAAATATCAAATAGTGGAGAGATAGATTTGACGTCAAAGAGAGCAAATGATTCAGAGTTGAGGCGGAACATAGACGAGAAAAGAAGATGGAGAAACACACTACAAAGGACGGAAGTAGCACAACACGGAAGATCTGTGCAAATGACGATCTGAAGATAAGATGTACCTAATTTCACTGCATACAGATACTAAACCTTGTATCGCTCTATTTTCGTCTGCCGTTAAACTTTGGGTCTTTTAAGACAAACGGCATACGAAGCATAGCTGGCGGCCTGCTTAAATTATTGGGCTACCGAAATTACTTTCCTCCAAAATGCTTAATTTCATCTGGATTTATCGTTGTTTTAATCTTCCAGTTATATCGAATGACCTATACATAAACTTGCTCGATGATTTAACTTTCTCCCAGGTAAACGCTGTACAATTTTTCAACGAAATGAAGATACACTTCAGATTATTACTTTACACGTGAATCCTGTGTGAAGAAAAAAGTACTTTGGAACTGAATATGCTGAAAATTTTTGTACCGTATACTAGCGTACTGTCTTAAATAAAGCTTTACCATCATTATTATAGATATGAAAACAGTATATATATATATATATATATATATATATATATACCTTCCTGTTGGCATAAAGCTGCCTTCATGCAACTAAGTACATCATCCAATGTTTCATTTGTATTCCAATCATCTTGATTCTCAATATCTTCTAGATCATTTTCAGCAATGTTACCAGTTTCATTTGGTGTTGACAAATCTTCATGAACAGAGGTTATTGAATATTCTATTAGGTCATTGTCATAATTTGTATAATATGTTTCCATAAGTTGAGTATTATCAGAAACAACTGAAAGGTAACAAAGCGTACAGAAATGTTATAAAAAGATTTTATTTATAGGGATGTACAAATCTTTTGACTACTTAATGAGACTTAGTGATTACAAAACGATGAAGTCAAATAAACTGTAGGAATGAGTCAAAAAGGTAGAGAAAACAGTTCTGAATCACTTCGTGAACACTGCGCTGAAATGTTTATCGTATTCTGGAGACAAACGATTGGAAATCGATCATAAATAATACCTGCGTATCCACAAGCAAAAGGCTGAGAAAGAGGAAGATAGAAAATCGAGAAGAGATTGATTCAAACGAACTATTTGCGAATAAACGCAGACTTAATTAATTTGTCCGCTCAGCGAATGAGTTTATACGTTTATTTAGATCTTTATTTTCTTATTATTATCATTAATGTTATTATTGTATTATTCATTCCTTGAATTCAGTATGGAAGATAGTGCTTGAATATCACATCTTCATTTCACTATGTCCTCTGATTTCTTTCTGAACTGAATGTTTGACCAACTACAAGCTTTCCTCCTTCTTCTGTTGGTCTGCGTTGCTTTTAGTTGCGTAACAATGTATAATTAAAATTTTCCTAACTTTTTACTTGGATCTTGCTCTCATGGTAATCGAGGGAAATGGTTCCTACCGCACGCGAGCTTTCAATGCTGTTGGTAATTTAGTGGTAGCTATAGCATCAGTGTGCTCGTGGATGTCATCTACTCTACTGGGGTAAATTTCTGACTTACTAGTTAACAATTTGAAGAGTCCACCTCCATTCCATGTACTCTCACAGATATCTAACACTTCTATACCATATCTTTGCACAGCTTTGAAAATTTCAACGGCTTTTTGGCTACCGGTCTCAAACATTATGAGGAAATTGCATGTGTTGATGTGCTTACCTTTGCTCTCATCGAATGAAGACAAATCGGCTGGGTGGCTCCCCAAGAGCTTTCCCCATGCATTCATGCCATTTGGCACACCGTCGTGTTACGTTCGTTCGGGTACGATCTCTAGTTAGTTAAGCAATCATCTCGCTATCCGATTTGATCCCGAAATATACTTCATAACTGAGACGATCAGTTTTGGTGTTTTGCTTTACCTATGGTCTACACGGAACGAATACTAAAGAAGTTGTGGGTATTAGATCTTGCGTTAGTATACTTCGTACTGTCCGCTAACGTAAACACCCTTAGCCTCTAAACACCCATTAGCAAGACATAATTTTAATCACGAGGAAACTGATAATCCCTCTTACGTTCGAATGCTTTTAGTTCAGTGGTGCAGTCAGGCCACTACTGACTTCCTGCCAGATCTCAGTAGATCTACTAACTGGTCATTAGAGAGCAACAAATATCATGAGTCTAATCCCAAGTACTGGCTGAGCTCTATCATTGAAGTCTACAATATGATCACTAATTTAGGAGACTCGGAATAGCGGTATACTATGAACTGAATCCAACACCATGGGAAGTCGAAAACAAACATAAGCTATCATCACAATTTTATCTAATTACGATATTAATAGTAAGGCTCTATTGCAGACACTATGTGAACACATAGTACAGAAATTTTCAGCGCTCCAAAATATTTCATCTTCCTAAAAGATTTACATGTATAGTGATAGTCTACAGTATGTCATGCCACATATGACATTTTGCTTCGTTTCCTTCAAGAATTGTACAGAGTTTCGTTGAAAGCTAACTACATATGTAGTGATTATTTGATGTAATTGCATGATTAGCCCAATATGAAATGCTGAAGAGTTAAAGCATTTTGGTGGATGAACGCTCTGTTAGCCCAGAGACTTAAGCAGGCCATCGTGAAGTTGGTCACAGGATGCTATGAGTTACAACCAAAGCCTACATAACACGGAATTAGACATGCATTCTCGCAACTGACATTCCTCTCCTTGTATACATTTCACTGTCTAATGGTTCTTCATATTTGCATCTTTGAAAAAATAAACTTAAAGCTAGTGAACTGGTTCACAGAGTTTTTACTAGTGAACCTAGTCACTCAGTTATACATCAAGTTAATAGTACGTAGGCTTACCGTCATCACACTTCATTTTACAACTATTAATAGTATTCAGCTGCCTTGCTGACTGAACATAATTATTGGTTGAAACTTCTGGAATTGTAAAACTACGTCGGATGAATAGATTCAACTGGTTAGTGTTGCTCTCTTCATCTTTGTGATCATGATTATCAACACTGTCATCAGTTATAACAACCTGTTTCTTTTGTTCATATCGACGATTTTCATACATTGGACCGGTTGAACCAGGTACAAGACAGAAATTTTTCAGTTTACTGTCGCTAGCTGGATTTTGCGAGTCTTCCGTCTTCTTCTGTATATTATTTGTGTATTTGCCAGATTCAGTAAGGTAGAAAGTCCCAAGACTTTCATCCTCAGCTCCTGGACCCTTACCTAACAGACTGTCATTGTCTGGTTATAAAAAGTAATCAAATGCATAAATAAAAACGATCATATTACCGTGTTTTTTTAAAAAAAAGAAAGAATGGAAAACAAATGAAATGGAGCATTACTATTGATTTTTGAGTATGCAAAAGTGAAAGAACTGTGAGCAGTGTCGAAAATCTTCGACGCTAGTTAAGTCTAATGGATTTGTGAGTTAAGTAACAACCATAGTATGTCTCGATTTCCAATTTTTCTAATTTAATATTCTACTTAGGTAAACAAACACTGGTATTTTCATAGTTAAACATTTCTTAATAATGTAATGAGTAGCATGTGCAACAATTTTATTTATTTATTTTTTGATTGCAGCTTGATTCCACACTGTATTTTTGGTACAAGTATGGAATTTTCAGCATGGATATCGGTAGCCCAAATTCTGCAGGCCGACCATAGATATCAGGTGTGCGTCGGCAGGGGATGGAACCTCGGGCCATGTGCATGGTCGGCGAGAGTCCTAACCACTGTGCCACCGACGCACAAAAGAAGGAAAGAATTAGGACTTTACTATTGGTCTTTTAAGTTCTGAAGCGAGGAACTTTACTGGGATGGTTCTATCTGGTAACCAAACTGAAGCCTTGAACATCTCGTCACTTCTATTTGTATAGGCGAAAGCAATTCCCAAACAGAATGGTTACATTAATAACTGCTATCTTAATCAAAAATGAAGTATATTAGTTTACTCACTTTCTGAAAGTGGTCTGTGTGGCCAAAGTAAGTTTTCTGTATTTTCAAAGTCATCCATATTCTCAGTTACGCCATAATCACTATTCATTTTCTCTAAGTAGAGATTTTTCAATTCGTTCAACATTTTCTCTGTAGACATTTGAACTGTTGGCCATAAACGATTTGATGATGGATATCGTTTCTAAATTGTGAATATGAAATAAATCAAGTCAGAAACAATTATCGATACCGTGGGATTTTCAGTAGGCTTACAGCGATGATAAGGTGGTAATAATAATAATAACAGACACATTTAAAAGCCAAACATTACACAACTGACAGTACTTGTCCTTTGCTGTTAATGGCAAACTAAAACACAACAGTGTACTAACGGCATGAATAGACATTATACGCTTAGTATAACTTAGGGGAAATATTTTACGGAGGGGCAATATCTAACGCTGTGTTGACGGAATGTTTAGATGCCAATATCTGTTTCGTAACCTTTAAAAATTGTAAACTTGGAATAAGTACTCTTCGACATCGTGCATTTACTTACTAAACATCAGAACATATTCGTTCTTGAGTTCTAACAGCTCATTTAGAGATGAAATAGTTATAACGTGATGGTGTGATACAGGCAGTGTCTGCCAACGGAATGTTATTCTCACATATTCCCACGGTTATATACAGCATTAACAACAGAATATTGTGTTTATTTGAACATTCGATTTCATGTCGTTTGACGTTAACCGAAATCACCAGCTCAGTGACTGGTGAACGAATATAAACTGTAGATAATATAAACAGCGGTTTGAATAATGAAATATGCCTGGGCTTCCGTATCTAGCCTTCTGTTGTTACAATAATGCAACGCATTAGCTTAATGAATATTTTGTCTTGAATGATCAGGTGCAGATAATGAAATCAGGAAATTTAGATAATGCACTGTTTTCCTACTTCAGTGCAAAAAATGAGCTTCTAGGTTAAAATCCATTGCATTCTTAAGAGATTTCGTTACGAGTCGACTTCAGGCAGAGAATAATGATAAACCTATGTGCACTAAGCGGTTGATTTATACAAGCTTTAAAATCAGCAGTATTGCAGGACGACAATTACGTGAAATTTTGAAGTGCAAACTTCTTATTTCAGTTAGTGTAATCATATTCAGGTGTCTATACTCTCGAATTCTGACCATTACAACGGATATATGGAGTTGTTCTACTGAAACATTTGCCAAAATGGGACTAAAAACTGGCCAATGAGTATTAGCTGAAATTCCCCTGGTGCTTAAGGCCTTCAAATTTTATCCAAACTTCTCTTTTGCAACAGAATCATTTAATGCAATCTTGTTTTTGTAAGAAGTAATTACTTTAAACTTAATCTTATCAGGATAATTTTTTATATTAAAAATTTCACAATATCAAATGTATGCATTCACTCCTAAGCAATGATTCTCTTCTTGTCAATATCAACTTTTCTTTAAATATTACGTAAATATAACGATCTTAACTGACTTAGGATTAATCAGAAAGGATGTTCTTCTCACAGTTTACACTCCTTTTAGATAAAAATCTCGCCTAGTTTTAGAGTAGACTTTAAGTCCGTAAAACAGGGGAAGAGCCACTGAAACTTCAGCGCACCGGGAGAACAGACTTATTCTCGCTTAGAATTAGGAAAACTCCTCAGACCAATAAGACTTCTGCAGATCGCAAGAAACAGTAATAGAGATGATCCCAAATCAAAATCCTAAACCGTGCTTTGAACGCTAAACTGAGAGCTCTTGGCGAAATACATGAGACCGGAAAACCCTTTACACACTTCTGTGCCTTAAGTCATTTTAGGATTGGAGGCAGCGCGTTCAAGCACAAGGACATACACAAATAGACACAGGTTTCACAAAATGGACACTCCAAAATTCAAACAGGATTCCACGCAATCCCAGTAAGGTGGAGACGCAGCCTGATGGAACAAAATCTAGAGTAGTAGCAGAGGCAGGTTGGGACCAATATCTAACAAGGATCAAGTTGAAAGCTATCAACACATTACACAAAATTCACCATTCATGCTCAGCACCCAAAAGCTGAAGTTAAAAGACACAAATAACATTTTAAATGCAGTCATCAGGTAAAAGTTGGGGACCATAAAAGCATCACAGAGGATACCTGAGTGGAAGGAAACCGAGTTTGTCTGCAAGCGACTTGAAGGAAAACATGTAAAGACACCTTAAGGTGGAAAGCGAATCAAGATGAGTAGTAGAGTTCTACGGAAATATGGACATTAACAGAGCGATCCGTGACTGCGAAATAGAAGATGAACCAGTACAAAGATGGATAACAAAAGTAGGATGTGAGTTCAGTCTACAAAAAACTGAATAAAGAAGTGAAGAAGGTTACTAGGAACGACAAAAAAAGTTCTAAGACATTTCGTCTAATGAAGTAGAAGAGGCTGGAGTTGAAATAGACCTCAGAACATTTTATCAGATAACCAGGTCACTAACCGGGGAAGAGATCAACATCGACGGGACTAACAAGAGATAGTGAGGGGAACCTAATTAAAAAAGAGAAGGAACAAAGGAACTAATATACTGATCCCTTAAATGACTCTTGAACCGACCACCACCTGCACATCGTACAGAAATAACATCAAACAGCAAACGAAAACCCAATCAGAACCTACTCTTTAAACGAAACATAAATCTAGAATGCCATAAGCTTTCTAAAAGCCAGAAAGCCCACAGGACTAGCTGAGTTTGCTACAGAAGCAGTGAAACACAGACCTAGAGTCCTCAGTAGATATACTCACGTCACTATTGGAGAAAGTTCTGAAGGAAGAATAGGCATACACTGATTGGAGGAAAGGCTAACTTGTCACACTACAAAGAAGAGTGTCCTAGTTCTTTGCAAGAACTCTTGCAGAATTACTCCTCTATTCATGTCAAGCAAAATTTCGGGTTGTATCATCCTGGGAAGACTAAAGGGCTCTGTGTATACAGAACTCCGGCTGGAAAAATCTTGATTCGGAAAAGGTAAGTCGTGAGCGGATCAATTTACAGCACTAAGCAGCAGCGTCGAACAGATCATAGAATAGTGGACAACTCCCTACCTCGCCTCCATAGACTTTGAAACAATCTTCGATAATATCTACCGTGAAGTTGTCTGGAAGCTATTTCGAAACAACAGGGAGACCCAACCCTATATCAACCTCATTCAACAGTTATATGATGATGATGACGATGACACGTGCCAAGTGATTCAAAACGGAAAGCACAGCGAAAAGTTTGAAGCGACGCCAGGAGTAAAACATGGTTGCCTGCTATCAACGATGATATCTCTGATTGTGGCTGACTGGATTATGCGGCTGAAAGTGGGGAATGGGAAGGCAGGAATACGTTGGACCAGCAAAATTACCCACAGATAATCTGGATTTTGAGGATGATTTCAGTATCATGCTGAACAAACTCGAGGATATACAAACAAAAACCGACAAGTTAGCAGAAAGGCAAAGAAGACAGGTCTTCAGGTGAGCATAAAGGAGACGGAAGTGATGAAGATACCTAACCACTAACAACAACTACAACAACAACAACAACAACTTATCACCACCAACAGAAGACATTTGAAGGGATTCACTTCTTTTGTTTATCTAAGCAGCGTCGTTTCAACTATAGGTATTTCAGATGAGAATGTAAAATGGATCCAGGATCGGAAAAGCAAGGCAAACATTTAATAATTTAAAATCACTGCGGGATAGGGCTAGATTAGGCATAGGGAACCAGATCCAGGTTTTCAATACCAATATCAAGTCATTGCTTATGTTTGATTGAGGAGCGGTGTACGCGTTACCAATGATATTTGCAACAGGCTACTGCAGAACTTTCCCAACAGTTTTCGCTGTCTTGATACCAAAGATTAGATGGTCTGTTGACAGAAATAAGTAAACAACAAGGAACTCTAGTAGAGCACTGAAACAGCTAAAATCTATCACTCAACAAATACGCAGCAGAGAATGGGGATGGATTGAGTGCACACTAAAGAGGCCGTTAAGTGACATGCGACGCCAAGCCCACGCGAGGAACCCTAGTGTGGAGCGACGATTTGGACATCGGAAGGTAACAAGGAGGAAGTCGTGCTACGTGGAAATGAAATCTTATGACCAGTCGAGGAGTCAACTAAAAGAGACAGAAGATAACAGACTGAAATCAAGGTGTACTTCAGGAGTTCTGTGTTCCACTCGGAACCCGATTAAACAATAATAATCACTTGAAATTTCTTCTTGATGTAATACTCCTCTCAAAGCAAACTGGTATCATATATATTTATGGTAAATAATCATCATGGTATTGTGTGTTTTGACATATGAAAAAAGTTATGGACATTTGAAGATATTTACATACTGTTCCCATCATCTTATTGTCCATATTTAGTGAGTTAACCTGAATTCCCAGATAAAATGGATGGACTGGCTGAAGGAGTTTTAGACTTTAATCATTTGGCGTGACGTATTCGGGGCGGTGTAAAACGTCGATAATCCCAGTAATGGTAAATAAATCCCACTGTATTTATCGCTAGAAGAGGAGTTTAGACTATTATTATCGTATCTAAAATTTAAGAAGCCTGAGTAGGTACAATGGTCATATCTTTACCTTTTGATGGTTTCTAGAACAGAGGTATACTTAATATTGTCCAACATTTGCCCTATTAATTGATCTTGTCAGTCGAGAGGTGCTGTAATAATGTCTGGCTGCGAAGAGAGTGACGAAACAATATATGGTACTAATCCAGACATCCTAATCGAAATCACACAGACGTGTTGGATCTCATGTTGTCTGAAGTGACAACAATCAGTGGTTTCCTTCAGTTTTGCTCACCGTCTCCACTCTTATCTAATCTGTTTGTAGATGAATCTAACAGACAGAGTGGAAGTATCGAATTTGTTGAAAACTTCACTCATTTCGAGAGTGAATTAGTCACAGTGGACTGATAGTAAACGAGATCATAGCAGGCCCGTATAACATTTCTTAAACTGCGTCACTCTCATGGAAGGCGTTTTATTCGGATATTCGTCGAACGATGTATGTAAAATCTAGCATTTTGCTCTGTTCCACTTCACGGGTATGAGATATGCAGACTGAAAGTGATAAATGGGGGAAGATAGTTAGATTTTGATGTTGAGTGTCTCTGTTCAGTTTATCGTACTTGGTGGAGCAATATGATCGGTAATAGTGAGGTCAGGGTGAAGTCAATTGATAAGGATTTAGAGCTTCATAGATTCAAGATAACTAGTACATGTATCACTTATACCTAGCCAACAGCTTTCTTTATGAACATTGTTCAAAATAGTCAGACGAAATCATGGTAGTAATCGGAGAAGAATTTGAGATTTGTTTGAACCACATACGGAGGAGTTAACTATCTTATTAGAGTACTCAGGGTGCTTAGAATAATTGGTAGGAGATTTCTAACGATATAGTTGAAAATTATTGAAAATGAGGCAGATGTATTCACTCCTTTTCATCATGCAAATGCTAAATATCTTCATTAATTTTCTTCTGATTATTATCACGCTAGTATATCTTTATCGATTGTAGTTCTATTACACTCCTTTTCATTGCAGTTGTGTGTCCTTTTGTGAAGTGTAGCAACTTGAACTAATGCACTTTTATGCAAAGTTCTATACTGATAAGTCAGCCTGTCTGTCATCTGTAACGCCTCAAACACATACTTGATACAATCCAACAAACTATGCCTGATCAATGGAATTAGGGACGTTGAGACTGAACGAATGATGGGCATACCAAGACATAGCAAAGGTTCATTGAGTCATTGAGTAATGTAGGGAAAAGTGAGATTTTTGACTGAGGTTTACACGAGCAAAGAAAGTAATAATTGAGAGTTTCTGTGATATGGTCTAGCTGAATGAGTCTGCTGCAGATGCATTCATACTTTCTCGTTCTATGCAGTATAACATCCAATTAAGTCTTACCGAAAAATCAATACACAGATATAAGGTGTTGCAGTTTGAGACAATATGTGTTAGTGTTGTGTTATATGCCTAGCAGATATGAAAAAACTATCTGCGTTTTTAATAAGAGAATGCTTCATCATCCATTTTTTTATGCTTTGGTATTTTTTGGATGTTTCTAGAAAATGTACATGCAGACAGGAAACATTTATCAGAATAACCACCCGGTCTCGAGTTTCACTAACTTAACACAGCTATGGTCGAAACGCAAACGTTTGATAATAATTTGATACATAAGATAACTGTTTTACTAAACTGTATGGAAAAGGTATTTGAAGGAATAACAACTGCACTGTAATTAACGATTTTGCAAAGAACACGTACACACATACAATACTCAGTCTCATCTTACCCACAAAGTGGAAAACTAATGAATGTGAAAGGCGCAAGATAAAATAATCTCTTGGGACAATTTACCTGCCAAGTATACAAATCAGTTCGCCTTGTAGAGTTCAAAGTATTTCTACTGTGTGTTAACTGTTCTGCCAAATCTCTAAATGATGTACAATAATGAAAAAAAAGAATAAGCTGTTCATTATCGAAAGTTATATTCAAATACAGTAAGAATAGTTATTCTAGGAACAAATTACTTAGCCGAAGCTCACTGACTCAATCTCGACCTTGATAAGTTCTAACAAAATTCAGCAAACTTATCCTAACTAGATTTCCACCAATACTAGCGTATGTGTAAGATTTCGATAATACCGGAGTCTGCAGTTATCCATACTTTTCGCATGGTACAGATCTACACTATGATGATTTACTTCAATTTCACTGGTAAAAATGCTTGTGCACATAGCAAATAGTCCAGACGAAACGTTAGTTTCTTGGAGGAATAAAATTGTCTATAATGTATTGTGGTATTTAAGAAGCTGATTAATGATATTTAGAAAGAAGAGAACACGAAGTTCAGCAAAGATATCTTTTCGGTGGTTTCATTTTCAAAAGCTGTACAATCACATTTAAATACATAATTTTACGTAGATACAAGTTTTACTTGATTCCACATAATTACGAAGGCGAATAAAAGGTGACAATTATTTTCAACTAGATATGGTTTACGAGAGGCTGACAAACAAAAATTATACAGAATTAGGATATAACTGTAAGATAGTTATTTTAGACGAGTTATTAATGTGAGCAGGGAAAGTATGGAAAAAACTTAAAACAACTGTTCCTTTAACTGAAAAAATGGGATGAATTGAACTAAGACAAAGAGAGAAGAATCACACACACAGCAAACGAAAAGGAAAAAAAAATCAAAAAAACGGAGGCTAAGAGAACACACCGAACTTGGTTCATGGAAGTTGTAGAGGTTGGATAACTTCTTTTGAACACCCGGCTCCGGCTTTTCGATGCATATTGCGAGGGCTTATGCACTACAGAGAAATCGGAAACGTACTGCTTTTCGTAGGTTCCTGTTGACTTTGTAAATTACTTTGAATGAATCAGTTGAGATGTTGTGGAAGGTGTTGATCAGATGTTCAGTAATAGCACTTCTGACTGAACCGCTGCCTCCTTTTTGAAACCATGCTGGGTAATGTTCTCTAGCACGTTTTGAAAGGACGCACATACAACGACCTATGCACCTAGTTCTGCACGAGCAGGTGAACTTATATATGCACATTGAACTGGTCATAAGCGAGAGTTTGTCCTTGACATTGTTTCGAAGTATTGGGCGGCTCAAGAATGTTACTCTTAGTGTTGCTGCAGGGAAGATCTTCTTTAAACAGCTGGATATTCTCCCCTTTAGGAAATCAGCTACCACATCTTCCCTAAAATTCAGATTCATATACATAGTTTTCTTCAGCGATGAATGGCATTTTTCTCTTTCATGTCTAGGTTGCATATTCTTGTCGACAAAACGTGCCGAGTAACCATTCTGAGCCACGATATCGTATCCTAATCCTGTGTAATTTTTTTTAAGGCTCTTGTAATCTATATTCCCACCTCCCAACTTCCATCTCAAGTTGAAAATTATTATTTCAATTTGTTTCCATGGTCATTTTCTGCGTAATTTTGTTTGTAAACCTCTCGTAAACCATATCTAGTTGAAAATAATTGTCACCTTTTATTCGCCTTCGTAATTATGTGGAATCAAGTAAAACTTGTATCTACCCTAAAATTATGTATGATTGTACAGCTTTTGAAAATGAAACCGCCGAAAAGATATCTTTGATGAACTTCGTGTTCTCTTCTTTCTAATGTCCTAATAGGTATTTTTCACGGTTTAATAATATTTACATTCTCATTATAAGTGCATATTTATGACCCTATGAGAAATAGTAAGGCCTCCTCGCAACCATTGTGTTATTCATCGATTTCAAAGGTGTTCTTTTCCAATGTTCATAGATCTGAAGTGTAGAAAGGCAGTTAGTCAGCGGTTAAACTACTTAAATCCAGAATCTGCACAAATACCAGCTTTTACTTTTTGGTAGTCAGAATTATGGATTTGTGTGTTGGGTGAAAAACTGACGTCACCTGACCTGCAGATGAAAGTGGAAATAACAGTCAAAATTCATTTCTTAATTGATTAGCATCTCTCATTGACTCAATTAGAGTAAATCTGGTCAATTAAGATGCCATTCATCATTTAACTCATCAAATTCCTATATGATTACTATCAATTATTAGAAATTAGGTTCGATTTCCCTAAAAGCCTTTTACTTCACTGAAATTAGGAATAAAATGAATGAATTTTAACAGCCTGAAAGAAATTGGGCATTCTAGTACCTCAAAGTAGCAATAGTTTGATCTGATTCACTTGCTCTGTCCAGTTTGATCTTCTGACGTGGTGTTAAAAAGTCATCCACATTTTCTGTGTTGTTTTCTTCATTGTAATCTATTTTTATTGAAAGATTGTCATCATTTTCTTGTAATTCTTGCTCTTGTAAAATTAAATCAGGCGAATTAATGAACTCTTCAAAAGATATAAATCTAATGTGGGTTTTTAGAAAAACAAAAAACAAAGAAGCCAGAATGCGAATAATTTTTACAAAGTGAAAATTTGATGCAAAGTTTTGAATTTTGCCGTGACTGTACATCAAATAACCTTGCCTAGTTTACTAGCTCTCTAGTTTTCTAGCCGGCCCCAAGTCTGGATAAAGAGGGGAGGGTTGGGCGAAGAACTAGCGACCCTACACCACAAAACCATTCAAACTGCTACGGGAACTTAAACACACAAGAAGAATAATAAAAATACAAGAATATAGAAAAATACTTATTTTTTACTGGAATTGGGGAGGCTGGGTGAAGCGACCTTATGAAAGCCTTAGAGAAACCAGTCAGCCAACCGACGAGCATTCTCTACATGAAATCAAGAATAAGAATGGGAACGCGGAATGTCCGTACAATGTACGAAGCCAGCTTTGAAGGCTGTACAGGTAGCCAAAGGTATGCGAAGATATAGGAGAGAAGTGCTGGGAATCTGTGAGAGCAGATGGAATGAATGTAGGCTATCAAAATTGTCAACTGGCGAGTCAGTAATCTGACCCAGTCTGGTCACCCAGACGACAACCACGAGAATCATGACAGCAAGAATCAACTCAAAAGGAAGGAAGGTTGCAATTATCAAATTATACGCACAACTCGAAACAAGAGAGAAGGAAGAATTCTGTGGACAGCTAAAAAAGAAATGGATGATATCCCGAATAATGACATCAAAATCTTCATGGGCGATATGAATTCCAAACTGAATCCAGAACTACTCACCTGGGGAAATGAATGACAACGAAGAACTCTTCATAGACTTCTGTGCCTTCAATGATTTCGTGATTGGAAGCAGTGTGTACAAACATAAGGATATACACAAGGCAACGTGGGTTTCGCCTGATGGACATACCACAAACCAGATTGATTTCATCTCAGTGCTGATCAAGGAAGTGGAGAGGCAGCTTGCTGGACACAAAGTTGAGAAGAGGAGCAGATGTGGTTTCAAACTATCATCTATTTCAAGGAACCTTTAAGGTGAAGTTGAAATCCCTGAAAACAACTGGAGACAGGCCACTGTAATTTAAGTTCAATATTCAGAAACTAAAGGACAAAATCTCAAAGGATGCCTTTGCTACAGATCAGGTTAGAGCAAATTCAGAGACACTATGTGCTATCACTGAGGAAACATGGGTGGAAGAACATTGAAGCTAACTCTCTGAAGATGTTCATGGAAACGTGTGCAAATGTTCTGGGAAGGAAGACGAGACAAGACACGGAATGGCGATCAACGGACATCTACCTGGAAGCTAATAGAAGAGAGAAGAGGAGGATGGTGAAAGAGAAGATGACTCAATGCAAAGGTGCACAAGAAAAGCAGAAGCTGAATTCAATGTACACTGCATTGAATAAAGCAGTAAATAAGATTGCTAGGAAAGACAAAAGAACTTCTTATGAATTATCTAAATATTTAGCCATGGTATTAAATCCTCTTAAAAGCCATTCAAAATCTAGACCAAGAAATTCTTATGAACCAAAACATAGATTGGGTAATTTAGAATCAGATAATGAAGAAAAAATGGTTAGTCTTGATATTGTCAGTTTATATACACGTATACCAATAAATATGGATATAGAGGGAGTTAGAAACAAACTCATTTCTGACCATGAACTCAAACTTAGGAAAAAAGTGCCACTTGAGGACATAATGCTGGAAGTACAGCTATGCCTGACTTCCACAATATTTAAATTCCAAGGGAAAATATACAAAGAAGCTGAGGGAGTTTTTATGGGATCACCAATATCCCGATTGTGGCAAATATATTCATGAATAAGTGAGAAAACTCAGAGATTGAAACGTTCAGCTCTACCCAAAATTATGGTGGAGGTATGTAGATGACACATTCACTGTAATTAGAACACAGGATATAGATAGATTTTTCGAGCACATCAACTCGAAGGTAGAGGCGATTCAATTCACTTATGAATTGGAAAGTCAGGAAGGGGAACTTCCAATGTTAGATGGCAACGTAAAAAGGAAAGAAGATGGGAAGTCAAAAACTAGTGTTCGCAGGAAACCCACACATCGAAACAGATATTTGGACTTCCGATCATCCCATCCTATGTCAGTAAAAACAGGATTAGTGAAATGTTTAAGTAATAGGGCACAAAAACTAAGTAGTTCCAAGAAAAATCTGAGACAGGAAGTAATGCATATAAGACAAACTTTACAACTTAACAATCACTCTGATAAATTAGTCAGAAAGTATGGAGGGAAGTGTAAAAATAAAATAATGATAGTAGTGATAATAATAATAGTAATATTAATGACGACATGCATGCCAAATATGCGCAAGACAACACCAACAATAAGGAATCTAAATCATCAGTAGTAATTATATACAAGGAAGGGACCTCGGAAACCTTACGCAGAATTCTTAACAAGGCAGGTATTCAAACCCACAAATTCAATTAGAAACAAGCTTTGTTTATTAAAGCATCAATCCTGTGGAGCTTTTAAAACAACACAATTTAGATTATCTAATACCCTGTCTGCAATGGCTGTCAGGTCAAATGCATAGGTCAAAGTAGTAGAACAGGGTCAGTGAGTCAGACGAGCCGAGCATAAAAACCTAGCAAAATCTACATTACTGGACCTAAATAAGATAAGAAATCTGGAGAATAGTTCAGCTATAGCACTACATTTAATTACACAGAACCATGCAATAGTATGGGATAAGATGACAGTTTTAAAATATGATGTCACAGGGTATAGGGAGAGATTGATAACAGAAGCTTTGTTTATCGAATCAACTGCAAATACATGTAATAGGAATGATTCAACACCTGTCCCAGATATATGGAAAATTCTACTGCCCATACAACAAATAGGAGAAGACAGAGAAAACTATAAAAATCAAATCTCGAAGTCGTGTGACAAAAATTGATATGATTATGAACAATAAATTGTGTTCGAAACGTCATCCAGTATACAATACTGTTTCACTGTGTGATACATTTAATAATCAAACTAATATGGCAAGACAAAAGAAAATTCTAAAATAAACTGACCAGCAATGGAAGCAGAAGGGGCTGGCCTCAGATAAAAGGGATCTCAGGATGTTATATCAGATAATGAAGTCGCCACTTGGGAAGAGATCAACACAGATGACGAAACCAATAAAAGGTGTTCATAGGAACCTGATTACCAAGGAGGAGGAACAAATCATACAATCGGCTGATCACTTCAAAGGACTCTTGAGTCGATCATCACCTGTAAATCGCCTAGAAATACATCACCACCACCAGCACGCTTAGAAATGCCTGCCAGTGGACACCGATCCTCCAGCGAATGCAGAAATCCTGAATGCAACCAAGCTACTGAAGTTCGGAAAGGCAGGATGACCAAACGGAATACCTCCTGAAGCACTGAAAACGAACCCAGAAACTGCGGCAGATTTTCTCACACCATTATTACAAAACGTTTGGTAGGAAGGAAAGGTGCCTACTGACTGGAAAAAGGCTACCTCGTCAAGATGCCAAATAAGGGTGACTTAGGCCTATGCAAAAACCGGTGTGGTTTCAGGATGTTGTCCACTCCAAGTGAAATAATAAGTGGCATCATCCTAGAGAGAATAAAAGATGCACCGGATACAGAACTCCTCCAGCTGCATTCAGGGAAGGTTAATCATTCCCTGATCAAATCGCAACTCTACACATTGTCATCGTCATCGAACAAAGCAGAGAATGGCAGTCAAAACTCTGCCTTAACTTTATCGACTTCGAAAAGGGTTTCAACAGCGCTGACCGATGGCATGCAGTGCCCAAGTCTTAATCAACCTCATTCAGCAGTTGGATATATGGCAATGCCACGTGGCAGGTGACCCACAACGGGAAACTCAACAAGGCGTTCGAAGTGAATACAGGAGTAAGACAAGCTGGTTGCCTATTATTATCATCGATGATGATATTCTTAATTGTGGTGTACTGGATTATGCGAAAGACTGTGTGTGAGGAGCGAGGAGACAGGAATACGCTGGATCAGCGATAAGGAGACTCTGAAAGATCTGGATTTCGAGAGTGGATGATATATGTCTCATGTCACACACACTCAAAGACTTAGAGGCAGGCGAAAAGCAACAAACTGGCTGAAGAGGCTGGTTGTCAGAGAGACAGGACTGCAGGTGAACATAGAGAAGACGGAGATGATGAGGATGAACAACGAACCGCAACAACATCAACAACAGCCAGCAGCGATCACCATCAACGGTAGAGATTTAAGAGAGGTTATCTCCTTCACTTATGTGACTGAGAAGCATAGATTCAACCACAGGCAGTCGGAGCGGATGACGATGTCAAAGCTAGCCAGAATCGGAATGGCAAGATATGCCTTCATCAACCTGAAACCAGTTTGGAAATCTTCTGCACTCCGCCTCAGCATAAAGAACAAGGTTAGGATTTTCAACACCAATGTGAAGTCAGTCAGTTCTTCTATACATGTCAGAAACTCGCAGTGCGTGTCATGAAAAGGATTTCCAACAGGCCACTGCAGACTTTTGTGAACAGCTGCCTTCCGAGGCTCCATATTGAAGATAGAATGGCCTTCCGGCCAGAAAGAATTAACAACAAGAAACTCTAGCTGGGGGCAAACCAACAGGCGAGAGCCGATTGTTCAACAAATATGTAAGAGAAAACTTAGATGGATCGGGCATAGGTTGAGGAGGCCGTCGAATGACATGGCGCGCAATGCAGGCCATCGCATGAGTGTAGTCCAAATGGGAATTGAGGAGTAGGTCATCCCCGGGTGACATGGAGGAGATCGTGTGAGGAGGAGATGGGAGGCTGTGGGCAATCGTGTTCCAACCTGAAGAGGACGGCAAAAGATAGGAAAAGTGGAGATGTGTTGTTGAAGCCCTATGTCCCACTCGGAACCGAAGGGAATAATGATGAATGAAATGAATGAACATGCAGTTGGCTAATAAACAATTACGCTACCGAAAACTGTCTGGTTCAATGGTTACGATTTCACTAAGGCTGAAGTGTAAAACGCTAATTTCTTAAATATTTAAGGGCGGTAAAATAACTCTTTGAAACATCATGCAATTAGTCTTCGAGCAGTGAATATGAAGACTGAATTATCCTCTATGCTTAACTGTCTTTATTTACGACATTAATCATTCGTGCTTTCAATGATCTCGAATCAATCAGTATCCATAGATCATTTTATTATTTATTATTCTCATGGGTTTCAGGAGAAACATGAGGATTCAACAGCATAACTCCATATCATCCTATTCTCTGTAGTCCTTTTTAGCTGGTTTCACGATCGCCTTTAAGCTCTCATCTCATCTTTACACGATCTCCTTCATGTCGTCCTCTGACGCCTAACCCGTAGTTTCCTATTCGGGTCCCACTCGAGGGCCGATCTGGAGTATGATTTTACTCAACGAGCTTCCCAGAGTGTGTCTCTAAATCTCCACTTTCTTCTGCATATTTGTTAGTCCTTTCTCAGATTTCCTTGTCGCTTAACATTTCCGGCCGACAATCTGATCTACAGAGTGGACTAAGCGAAAACAGTCGTTGATGAGATATAGCAGCCTGTCTTAAACACATTCAGTGATGCACCCATCTCTGATGAATTTAGAAACACTGACCTGACAGTGATGCTGAAAATCCATTCTTCACACATACTGAGGAGTATTTTAACACTGACTTCAGAGTAATGAACATCTGTTTTGCTCTCCCGATCCTGGTTGACTTTAACGTCTTCATCTGTGCCGCCTATCTGCTTCCTGTCACTGCCTACTCTGAAATGTTTTGGTTCTCGGCTGTAGATTTTCGGGTTTGTGGGACATTAGACATAAACCGCCCGTGGAAGTTAAGATATTCTTAAGAATTCTAATCAGTCCAGTATATTCCTATATTCTCAATCCCCACCGCCATCCTCACTATCCAGCCCGCCACAGTCAGCACTATCATCGGTAATAACAGGTAGCCGTGTTTTGTTCCTATCTTCACCCCAAGCAGTTCGTTGAGCTTTCTGTTGTAGATCACTTGACACGAGTCATCCCAACCATCACATAAGTGTTAAGTGAGATTTAGAAAGGTTTGCGGTTTTCCGTGGTCTTAAGGTAGTTTCCAAATAACTTCACGGTCAACGCTATCAAGGGCTTTATGAAGTATATGAAGTTGAGATAGGGAGTCGTCTACATTCTATGATCTTTTTGACGGTGATGCTTAGTGCTGTAATTTGATCCGCTCACGACTTACCTCTTGTTATTTTATTTTTTTAAATTTTTTATTACAGCTTGATTCCACACTGTATTTTTGGTACAAGTATGCAATTTTCAGCATGGATATCGGTAGCCCAAATTTTGCAGGCCGACCATAGACATCAGGTGTGTGTCGGCAGGGGATCGAACCCCGGACCATTTGTATGGTCGATGAGAGTCCTAACCACTGTGCCATCAAGATTTTTCCAGCCGGAGTTCTGTATACACAGAGCCCTTTAGTCTTCCCAGGATGATGAAACCCAAAATTTTGCTTGACATGAATAGAGGAGTAATTCTGCACGAGTTCTTGCAAAGACCTAGGACACTCTTCTTTGTAGTGTGACAAGTCAGCCTTTCTTCCAATCAGTGTATGCCTATTCTTCCTTCAGAACTTTCTCCAATAGTGACGTGAGTATGTCTACTGAGGACTCTAGGTCTGTGTTTCACTGCTTCTGTAGCAAACTCAGCTAGTCCTGTGGGCTTTCTGGCTTTTAGAGAGCTTATGGTATTCTAGATTTATGTTTCGTTTAGAGAGTAGGTTCTGATTGGGTTTTCGTTTGCTGTTTGATGTTATTTCTGTATGATGTGCAGGTGGTGGTTGGTTCAGGAGTCATTTGAAATGATCGGCCCATTGTTTCCTTTGTTTCTCCTCTCTGGTAATTATCTTCCCTTTACTATCAAGTCTCTTTGGTTTCATGTGTGTTGATCTCTTCCCCGTTTAGCGACCTGGTTATCCAACATAATGTTACGAGTTATCATTTACCTGCAAGCTCTTATGCTTCAGTTGGCAGTGTGTTAACGAACAATCGTTTGTCTTTCCTTACGCTCTTCACTGCCTAGCTTGGTGAGATGTAGATTAATTTCAGCTCCTCCCTTCGTTATGAATAAGATTTTTATTTCGATAAAATCAAACAGTGTTATACGGTAATATTTATTTACGACGTTCCGAGCACAGTTTATTGCTCATAATCATATCAACCACATTTGCAGCGGTTCTCCTTCACCATCCTCCTTTCTTCTGTTATCTTGGACGTGTGCTTAGACTGCCGTTCCTTGACTTGCCTCTTCTTCTTTCCTAAGAAGCCTGCAGAGGTTTCCTTCAGAGTCGCTTTAAGAGGATTCCAGTGTTCTTCCACATAGGTCTTCCTGTTGGTACCACACAGAGTCTCCGACTGTTCTCTGATGGCTGCCCTAATGGCTCCCGAGTGTTGAACATGAATTTTAGACTACTCCAGCCGCTCTGAATGCTTTCAATTTGATCTTGAGTATTATTTTCACTTAATGGTGGTTTAGGCCCATTTTTGACTCTCTTGCGGATTTTGTGTCTATCAGGCTGCGTTTCCGCTTTCTCAAGATCGAGAGAAAACCTGCTCAATTTTGGTGTGTCAATCAGGTGAAACCCATGTTTTCCTGTAAATAACCTTGTGCTTGTGCGCGCTGCCTATCACCAAGTCACTGAAGGCTCAGAAAAGTGTACACGGTTCTCCATTTTCAGACATTTTTCTGAGGGCCTGCCTATCTGTGATAAAATCGACCACTGTGTTGTTTCTTCTTCATACCATTCATTAGGATTTCGATATCGCTGTTTGATGTCTTGTCCATCGCTGTATGCAATTGTCTGTAGAAGTTCCCTTTGTTTTGTTGTTCTGCTTTGTTTGTAGACACGTAGTGTTGAACAGCTGTAAGTTTCTAGCCTTTTTAATGGAATCTTGCTGCCTCTTCAGTCAGCTTCCAACATCGTGTGGACATTCACTTTCCCTACAGTTATTTTTACTTTCATACTGGCTTTCTAAAAACTTTCACTACCCATCGCTATTTGATCCCTTTGTAGCGACTGAATTAATTTTCCTGAATAGAGTGTCTACCCCCATGTAGAACATTCCATCTTTTTCTAGGCCTTGGACCGTCCAGTAAACTAGGGGAGGTTAGTATCCACTAAATTAGTCTTTAAGCGATAATCAACGTCTTTCATAGTAATAAATTATTCAGTTAGTAGATAAATGAAGTTGACTTAGCCCAAATTCACTACAGTGAACGATATATGAAGTAACTATCCTACACTGAAAACGGTAAATCAAACACCAAATCTCTGTGAAACAGAGATTTTATATCTGTCTTAGACAGAAAATCAACTATGAGACAATGAATTTGCAAATTTTTCCTTCATCTTCAAAGCTCACCATGGTTTGATTGTCTGTCACACAGTAGTTAGCTAGTCTTTCCATTCCATCTGTTATTTAGCCATGCTCATTTAGTTGAATTACTTGACCATAATAAGATGGCTTATGTGAGTGGTGATCTCAACATTTCAAAGAAGATATGCAAATCCGATACGTTGTTGTTACATAGGAAACAAACATTCAAGTCCTTGTTTAACAAATCAACAGGTACTAGACCAATATCAATGTGTGGGACGACTGATTGTCTTAAAAATCAAAGAAAACGAAGCAGAACAACCACGAATGTCGTGTCCCAAAGATATTTTACATCCTTGGTTTCATGAGTAATATTGGTTCCAAAAATTTATTTGGTGGGCAAAGTTTTCAACTCACGCTATGTTGTGCCAACTAATTTGAAAGGCTATTTCCATTCTTCGCATTCTGAGTGACACATGGTACTTCAAGCTCTGACAATTCAGTGGTGGTGGGTTTTATTTTTACAAGATGGGGATGATAAGCTTGGGGTTAATCTATTCGGGCTTACTGCTAGTTAGATGGGCTTTAGTAGTGCTTCGAATATGGACCAAGCGCATGGTTGGCGTGCATTCAAATAATGAATCACCGACGCAGTTTGAAATTTATCAGTGAACAAATATCCTACTGTGACTACTTAAGAACTTCGTCAGCTATAAATTCAATGACTTTTGAGCAAAAATTGCTTAAATAAAATAGGCATAATATTTTTAAGAATATTTGCTGTATTGTTATTCACCCCACTTGCACTCATGTACTTTTGTATTTTTGTTGAAAGTGCAGTGACTTGAGCTAATGTGCCTTTATGGTAGGTTTAGCACTAGTCTACGAATCTGTTTGATACTTTGTGCTATTTTTCTTAGGACTATATAAATAATACTATAATATACTATATAATACTATAAAAAATAAATTTGTTCACCTCAGGGGGCTCTGTCACCCTACAACATTTTAACTGAAATTATAATTTGAAATCAGTAAATGCGAGGAAATTTAATATAAAAATAGCACTAGTACTCAAGTAGAAGGAAAGTAGTGAACTTGATGAGAAAAAAATGTTGGGCATTAGGTATCTGGTTTCAATGTTGACTGTTTTCTGTTTCCCGACTAATTAAAAAAGAATCTTTAAAGGTGAGAAAGGGGTATTCACAGTGTATGAAAAACTGTTCCCACCAGGTAAGCATCCCTCTTACCTCTGTATCTCATCCTTCTTTAATATACTTTCATCGATAGGACTCGTTTGCATGTGGAATACAATCTCTTTGTACAATTCCTGAAATAAAAGGAGAACAAACAAAATTATTATCCAGTTGAATGCATTGTATCCATGCTGACAAGTATGATCATCTTGATCGAGGGTGTTGAATAAGTATTAAGGTAATTGTTGTCACAGTCAGTTCTTTAATTATTTTTTCCAAAAGTGTTGGCTAACTATGCTCCAAGTAGACTGTTGAACAGCGGTGCTTTGGCTAGATTTCCTCAACGCCTAATCTTATGAAGTTGCTTGAGTACACAAAGAACAACTAACTGGTCAGCATAATAAAATACCGTTCTGTTTTGTCTTCTCTTGTCAAACTCATTCGACCTAAACCAATTGTATTATCAATAAAGAAAATATACACGGCTCAGTAATTGGTCATCGTGGAAATGGGGCCATTGCGTAAATGAGAAGGTTACAGGTGTTAGGATGTTTGTTGGTTTATGCAGAACATTCTAGAGTTAACAAGGGAGTCTAGAAACTAATTAGTGGTGTAAAAACTGGTACAATATATCATGTTAAAGTCGTTTTATTTTGAATGTGGTTGACCTTAAGTGAAGTGAATTGAAGTTATCCTGTCCAATTTGTTATTCTTGCTCTATTCAGTTTCATCAAGCAAAAACGTGTACTATAAATACCAATTTCAAAAGATGGTATACAGAAAATGCAGTAATGCAATTGTGGTGGAACAAAAATCAATAACACATCATAAGTATTTTCGAATAGCTCCCTAAATGCAATGGAATGAAGATTTGCAAATATGATTAGTAACAGTTTTCACTAGGGAAAACCAAGTGCTGACTGTGCGTAAAAAAGTGACACATATTGCATATATGTTAGATGATTGAACGCAATATGTAGGAACCTCGAATATAAATGCCTCGAACCTAGGTATCGTACCTGCTGGTACTAATCGCCCAGGCGCGTCTGGAACGCTGAAGGGACCCATATCCTCCCTTCGGATTCGGACCTGTGTCACCCAATCATAGACTTCAATCATAGACATTACCATTAAGCTGTTCGAGCTCGTGACTAATCTCCTGTCGGAATACCGGTTGCCTCCAGCCATCAAATATCATATCAGGGTGCACCGTGGCAGTAAGCCATCTAGTATGGTAACTACTTGCAACCTTGACGGGTAGAATTCAGTCTACACCAAGACTAAAGACTAGATGCCTGAGATTGGATACTCTTCTCGGCAAAACAAATGTTACCTTATTGTGTGACCGTACTTAATAAGTTTACAAAACTGTTTTGGAAATTTCCTGTACTACAGGTTGGCAACGGTTCCTATAGCCAGACAAAAAGTGTTTCAAATACCTCCGGTATCTGAATTCATGACTATCGTTATGTATCTAAATAATCTTATCCACATCTTGCCATTTCATAAGGGAAACCTCTTAAGCCTGGAGACCATTTTTAATACGGATACATTTTAGTTATAACAGAAAGTTTAAATACTCAAATTGGTCAACAATGATAATCTTTTTAACCATTAGGTGTAACAACATATCAACATGCTTTCCATTAACCAATGAACTGTAAATGGAACTTATGTGAGTAAACTGATAACTGCATACTGTAAGTTGTATAATGGGTAATAGCTTTCGTATCCGATAAAATTGGAGGAGATATCAAATACCCACTTACACGTAAATACGAAGTAATAATATTTAATTTAAGAAGTTCAGAGGCGGATGGTCTTTCTTGTGGAACCTTCTTTAACATTCTAAAAACGTGAAAACAAAATAAACAGTTTATCACTTTTCATCAAGACCATCAGTTAATACTGTGCTTAAAAATTGTATTTTTTATCTTGGAAATGGAAGTCTGTCGGAATGAGCTTGCTATCCCACCCAACAGAGCACTATGCTTGAAGTTATGGTTCTATTAATTTGTGTGTTTGAAAAACTTTGAACTTGATTTACCTCTGACTTTTACTCCCAAATGTTGACTACCAAGTTCAGCATAACTTGATTGTATCACAATATCTGCCGATAGTGTAGGTTAGTATTTTGCTGCTGTTTATCTTTGATCGTTCATATTCTCTCCTTAAAAGTTACTAATGGTAACGATAACTATTTCGAGGCAATTTCAATGTAATGTTGGAATTTGGGTTCACTTCTGTAACTAGTCCATTGATGAAACAACTTCTGTCCTCAGACTTACTAGTGACAACACTACTGAGTATCTGGGTATATAAGAAGGGAGTTAAGTCTTCCCCTGCGATAATCATAAGGGAATAAGCTTAACCAATATAGCATCCTAAGTCCTAGGTTCAATAATCACTCGTCGACTAACTGGCGCTCGTGGCGAATAAACCCGAGAAACCATTCGAATATTGGGACAGGAACAGAGTGTATTGATTACATCTTCACCCTTCAACAGATTTTGGTACATAGGTACACTTGCTGGCTTCCAAAATTTGCCACATTTCTTGACCTGAAAGTGGCATTTGATTTCGCCGATTATCACAGCTGTGATAATATTTAGCCGTGAAGGGAGTAACAAGAAAGTTTATCACACAAATCAAGGCACTGTACTCGAACTCACGCAGCCTCTTAGGAGCTTACGGAGAGTCGTATTCTGAAACGATGACAACCAGTAGAGTCCATCAGGGATGCTTACTGTCCCTAATTCTGCTTAATTTCATTATAAATGCATTAACAGAATTGTTCCTAGCTGAATTTACTGATTTAAGGTTGGATTTCTTATCAAAGGTCTCGTGGACCTAGAGTATCCAGGTGATATTATCCTCCTGTGTGAAGACGCTGACGAAATGCAGAGTCTACTAAATGCATTGAGCAGAAATCTTCGAATGTTTGGCACGCAACTAGCCTCCGTCAGATGTAAAATGTGCTACATGACTGATTCAAACTGACTCCTGGTTTATTGATAAGGGGTGAAGTCGTTTAGCATGTTAACCTATTCACTTATATGAGGAGGTGCATCAGCTCTAATGGACTCATTGCTGAAGAAACCTCAGAAGGCATAAAAAAGCTTCATGTCATCCGTCAACTTACATCATATCTGGCGTAGACATGATATTCGGCTAACCATCAAACGACTTGTGTACAGTGCAGCAGTTCGCTCTATCCTCCTTTACCGATGTGAGATGTAGCCATTGAAAGTGGAAGATATGCGAAGTCTAGCTTTGATTGATGACACATGTTAGCCTTCTATCTTTCGTGTTAAGTGCTATAATGTGGTGAATAATTTGAGGTTAGGTGTGGAGTGCTGGGTAAGAAGGGCAAGTCGTCTAACGAGATAGTAAAGTTTAATCGATTTCGATGACTAGGACACGTGTTATGCATGCCGAGCATCTTCATTCTTCGACGTGCAGTGTTAACATATATAGGATTAAGCTGGAAAAGTGTCACGGGCGGCCAAACTAAAACCTGGCGTCAACCCATGTTGATAATGAGAGTTGGCTTGAGCTACATAAGGAAGTGTGGTCCATCTAGTTGAAGTCAACGTGATGCTAAGCAGCAATGGTTGGAGATAACTGGTAGTATGGTTCAAAGTCGTTCTCAATGATGCAGATGCACTTCTTCCAGATCCATTAATTCCTCATTTTATTCAATGTAAGTATTCTTTGTGCTTTCCAGCTCTCTCCCGATAAAGTTCTTTAAATTTTTTTCTTTTCTGCAGCTGTGGGTTAAATGGGATGTGGAGACCTGAACTACTAAGCAGAGTCCTACATTGAAACTCAGTCAGTCACTATTTGGAAATACACACCGACTGGGGTACCATCTGGCTGCCTAAAACTATCTCGTTTCTTTCCGAAAGTTCTGTGGAAAAGTCAGAGCTCTGACAATTGTCCTTGCTCACTAGTCAACTTAGTGTTCCAAAGAAAAGGGGACAGTCACTTCACAATACATTTTGCGTTTTGTGTTATAGTTCATTTACTTTTAACAGACCACAAATCTTTTTAAATAGTGTTTTTTCTGTATTCTCTAGCTTATCTGGATCACCTTCGTGTTGTGTAGTTTAGGTTTCAGTAATACACCAATCAACTGGTTTTGGTATTAGACTGGAATATTTACTTAAACCCCCATGGCTAACTACTCACAGATTCATTAGGCAGTGTGCAACCTTCTGCTATTTAATAACAAGTCAATGACATCCCAGTCTATCACTACTTAGGAAAGCAGCATAAATTCTGTGGCATCTCAGCCGATTTTAGAGTCCCATGAATTGGTACTACAAATCATCTCTTAAAAAATAATTCCTTCGGTTATAATTGTAGTGTTCTGTTGGAGTTTCAACACAACCATACGTGTATATCATTCAAAAGTAATCACAAATAACATACAGCTGTAGAACTTCTTGGAGCTCTTTGGAGTAGATTTCTGGTAGTCGAGGACATGGATCATTTATCACTTGCCACATAACGCGCATTAAATTCGTTCCAGTAAAGGCTCTCCTTCGGGTGCACAATTCGTATAGAATTATCCCAATAGACCTTGTATAGTTAAAAATGGTAAAATATGATATGGTATTATAAGCATTCAATTAACTAAAGTAGTTTTACATGTTTATGGATTTAGTTTCTCACCGACACTTCTGGACTGGACTGATCTGTCTCCTTTTGTCACATGACCTGCTCATACGGATACCTCAAAATGGTATGGTTTTTCCCTTGGTATTTATGGTTTGGCAGTTGAGAGTAGTGAGATCTAAGATGTTCATTTTGTCCTGAATTCCATCTCTGGCGACTGGCAAACAAATTAACACTGGCAAAAATGGTTAGTGTTCATTAATTAGTCGATGAATAAGCTGGCTGCCCGAAAAACTTAACTGTTTGGAACACTGACCGCTTATGAGACTAATGGAAATGGAACTGCTGATATATACACTGAATACGTATTTCATAGAAAAAACCTATCATTGTGTATATAACTGAAAACATTAAAATTTGAAGTCATTTGTGCAATAGACTATTTCAGATAAATGCTGTCTGATAGACTCAAATCCAGAATCCCTGAGCGTCACTCTTTAATTTTGAATTGTCAGTTAATTTGTTGGGGGTTGAAAACAACAAGAGATATAACTGATCACTGCGAAATTTGAAACCGTTGGTGATCTTGTCTTACGACAACTATTACACTGACGTGGTGTATGCCTTTTGACCACAAAATATATAACTTTACCGTTAAACACATTTGACTTACCAGATATCTGATTTGTTGTTGTAACCTTCATACTTTAAAACCTCTGGACTCATATAGTATGGAGTTCCAATGAAAGTAGTTGCCAGTTCATTAGTTGTAGTCAATAAACGTGAAATACCAAAGTCGCCAATTTTAATATTTCCATTCTTTAGGAATATATTACTGAAAATAATTAAAAATATATTGATTTCTCTTTCGAATTTAACTGAAAGCTGGTGTTGGATGAGAAAAATTAAACAAAGTTTTGCCTTTTTTTTACTGGATTATTAACTGTTCATTTAGATTGAATGTGGATTTATCTGGAGGTCAGTCTTAATGTATAACAGGGCAATAGTCTACTTAGCTTTATCATTTTAATTTTCACAGCTTACACGGATAAATCATTGAGAAGTGTCCACAAATTAACGCTATTTTAAATGCTATATCTAGTGTCAAGCGGTTTTTTACTAATCCACACATCATAACTGAAGCTATAAACACGTCAGCGCAATCGCAAATGCTTGTAATTTTTGGTGTTTATGTTCAAAGCACATCATCCCTATAACTAAGTTCTTCACTCACTATAACTAATGACAGTATTCACTATGGCAAAATTAACGGGTTAGCTTTAATTATTTAAGCAATTTACAAATAAAGAAATATCCTCGCTACGCCTAACATATTGAATAAGAGAAGGATATATAAATAAAACTTTTTAATCAACTAATTTTCTTCTATTAGTGAAAAATAATGACCATACTCTCATGACTGTCAGTTTTTAGGAAATGAAGACACACAGAATGTCAAGACATTTGCTACGAAAAACATTTCATAGATTAACAGAAGCATATTTTAAACACACCCCCATAACCAAGTTAAGATATTATCCAGTAAACCATCACAACAATTGGGAACACTATTAATTTAAGTTAGAGAGCAAGTTATTCCAAGCGTTAGACCAGGTAGCTGGAGAGAAGCAAGCAATGTAAAGTATTTCAGACTTTATCAGATCATGAATCCACATTTTACCTAGGTTGAAAAAGATTCACATCATTTCTTCTCTAATGTCTCTTAGTACCCTATGCTTCGTTTCTATTCATACTTGACTTGTTTTTAATCTAAGTGACATCATTTTCGAATTGCATTCTTGGTAGTTTTTTTTCATTTTATCATCCACCTCTGGAAACGAACAGCTATTCCTGTTTCTGAGTATACGTTTTCTATAATTATAGAAAAAGTCTTTTTATTTCATTTACAGACCGAGTTCCAGTCACGACAACTAAGTCATGTTTCACCAATATAGAGTACTGGCGCTCCACAAAGATAAGCTGTCGTTTAGCGCTTTTATTGGTAAAGTCAACAAGTACTTATTGAGAGATATGTCCATGGAAATGTGCTGAATATCCAAGTTCTATGCATAATGCAATCAACATCCAACTCATGTGTGAACAGCTAGTCTCAGAATTAACCGAATATTCACCATAGGCTACAGTAGTAGTTAATCCAGCAGAACCTTGAAACTGGCTTATACTAATAGGTGCGTTGTTGATTCAACTATTTGTGAATTGCTAATTTGCTTATTTGACCTTCAGTGTTCACTTCAATCGTTTTAATAGAATACAAAGTTAAATGGCATAAAATATTTAAAACAAACCTAGATTTCAAGTCACGATGAAGAATTTTATTTTTGTGAATGAAACTTGTGGCCAGTATAATTTGTACGAGCCATTTACCAACCAGTTTTTCGTCAATATGCTCCCCATTTTCCTTCACTCCTTTTAAATAATGCGTCAAGTCCCCGCCCTGTGGTAGTTTTAGATTTGAAGAAAGTAGGCAAAACATGCTTCTGAGTTACAACTCCTTTTTAATCTCTCTTTAGGTATTTTACTAAAGCTGTAAAACACAAAATGTAGTTTTACGTTTTAATGAGAAACTTTTAATTGACTGATTAGCCTAGCATTCAGAAAGGTACAATATATATATATAATGTACATAGGTCACTTACACATCTACAAATCACTGATAATGAAGGATTGGTTTCGAATTGCAACGTTTTCATACGAAAGGGAATAACAAGCTAACGCGTTTGAGAAAAAAGGGGATAAAATTGACTAAGGTGTGTTCAGAGTACTAAGCACTCACTTGCATTATAGAAACGAAAAAGTTGTTACGACACATGCTTGGGGAAAACAACGAGGGAGATGTTAGCAATATGTAAGTAAGTTTACCGTTAGAGTGTTGTTAAACTGGTTTCCATAGACTATGAAATTTAAGAATAAATGATTTGAAGATTCAGATAAATCATAGCTATTTCACGTCCAAAAGTAATTTCCAATGTGTTTAATAGTTTACTTCAATTGAAGTTTTCGTAAAAATCCCTAGTAATTACTGAACTGGCAAGTCAGAATAGTCATCAGACATTCACTATCACAACAAACAGACTGTATTCTCCACCAAAAACAAGCCCCTCGTATGTTTTGCTTCAGTTTCACAAAATGGAACTGTACGCCTAACGAAGTACAGAAGAAAAAATAGTAACCCTCACAGAGTATAGAGAGAACTTTTTTCTGTTTAGTGTCTAAGGCATGGCCTTCTGCTTCTTATGTGAGAGTATTGTAGCCCCCTTGGGCACACTAATGATGACTATCACTATTATTGCAGAAGTTTAATAGATAGGGGGCTAGCGAATATAAGAAAAGTTGGAGACACTTCTGTAAAAAACATTTTTTAAGTCCATCATACATTGGTCACATGAGTAAATAGTTTGAAAGGAAACTGAATTTATGTATGAACGAGTAATGAGTGTTTGCGTCCACTGCGAGGACTTCCTGAGCATGTGATGCAAATCCCAATGAAAAAGTTTTGTTTCAAAATCATCTGGCCGGAGAAGGCTGGAAGAAACTGGCACTGAGCACTTAGGAAATATGTACAAATAGGATATCCTTCATTGTGCTGTTTACGTTTTCTGAAAAAATCAGGGAGATTTGGAAAGCCTCATCCAGTTATTCATGCAGAAGCTAATCCCATCATGCAAGAGAATAGATTTATTCGTACTTGGAGTAAGTTAAAGTAACAGCCTCATTATAAATTTTATATTTCTTCATGGAACCCAAATAAATAAAAATAACTCAAGGAAAATTTTGGGGGAATGCGTCATAATTCTAATCGTTTATCTCCCTCCAGGATACATTCACGAAATCACCACGAAAAGGTGTTTAAACCGAAGACGAATAAAATACATGTGGAATTTAGATTCTCTCACAGAGCGGTCAGCGATTGGAACTCTTTACCTGATTGAGTAATGACAGCTCCATCTGTGGACGCTTCCAAAGAGAAATCAAATCTCTGCAGAGGCATATATCGCAAGGATTTACATAGGCAACATAAGTCTAATATCCTTATGATCTGAATCTGAATCAGAATTAGACAGAATCCCAGAATTACAATAACTGCATAACATCCTGAATGACATCAAACTGGCCTTAAATTGTGTGACAGAAACTCATCGGTTTCTAATCAACAACATATAACAGTTTGCGAATAGTCAAATGATCAAATTTAAACCAAACTTTTCACAGAAGACTATATATATTCATATGAATATAAATTTCAGACGAAATGACTCAGTCAAAAACTGCAACCAAACAGCTTACTTCACAATATTCTGCTACGAGACAGAATTTGTTTTTCTCGACAAAACTTTCATATGTACGTAAAATGTATGGATGTCTGAGGCCCGACAATAATCGGGCTTCTTTCTCGCAGTCATTCTGGGAAAGTGATTGAATTTCATCAAGTTTTATACATTTGAGTGCCTTGAAAACTTTTCTTTTTTAAGACTATATGTGGTAGTTTTTGACTTAAAATTACTTATGTGCCCGAGATTCTTGCAAATCTTCAACCAAGTAGGTTTTCCCACTTGCACCTTTCCCTAACTTTTTTGTAACTGAGTATCTCTTCCTAAATACTTTGACGTCTCCGTCAGTCATCTTGAATTTCGAATTCACACTGAAACTGACATAACCATAGCGACGCCCAGTATTCAATATCCACTATCGTTTTTACGAGCTAGTATTAATCAATATGATTTCTTTGCGTTCGATTCTTATTTGTGAGTTGAAGGTTCCTGATCTTCACGGTTCGTCCTGCCACTCGGCTGTCGTAGCTTTGGCTGACTCCAAAAGGAGTGATACTGGGATTAATGATATGTGGTGTGTAGTGTGCAGTGTGATAAAACTGTTACTACTGTGAATGGAGTTGATCCATTCACCAGCTAGTCCTCCGGTATCATCATCAAAAGAAAAGAGATAGTATTAATAGATATAATTAGTGCAGGTTATTCAGACTAAAAGACGGAAAAAGAAATAAGGAAAAAGTAAAAATAGACAGCTAATTAAATTTGAAGTTGATAAATGTATACACATATATTTATATTCAAATATGCGTACAGTATCAACAATAATACTAAGTTTAAGCGTGGTAGTTGGAGTTGTCAGGAGAATAAGACGGAAGAGAATGTAAAGAAGTAAAACGACGAACTTTGTTGTCCACCCCGATTGGTGTATGGGATTTTAAGTGGATAGGCCTTTTGGGCTCAGTCCTTGTGTCTCTGCATAATTGTCCGGCCTTCGCTTAAGAGCGTCCACAGACGCTGTCACAGCTACATCTGCCAGTAAGGAGTTCTAGAGACGGTGAACCTACACTGAGTAAAAGTGGGAGCTCAGCCGGGTTCTTGTCCTCTGGTGGGTTATCCTACTGGGATTTCGACGATGAAGCATATACCTACTCAATGGCAGAACACCTTTGTTTGAGTGATTCTGGTCATTTTTTTTCTTGTAGGCAGTAATCAAGTCCCTCCCAAGCCGACAGTAGCCAAGTGTGAACAAGCCTAATTTCTTTAGCTATTCATCACACGGTTTATTTTGGAGACCAGCCGTTAAATTGGTCTCCCGTCTCTGGACTCTTTTCAAGGGTTTGGCGTCTCTTTTAAGCAGTGTAGTGCAATGATATTGTGCATTTCAAGGTATGGTCCGACGGAAAATTTGAACAACCGCAGAAATAGCTCGGTAGTGAGTGCTTCTAACTGTCCGTGTGTGTGTGTGTGACCACATATGCCCTCGCTACGTCTCCCATGTAATTTGCGCTTGTATCCATTTTCCCGTTGGAACTAGGCCTAAGTCACGCTACGAGGTTGTGCAGTACAAGCTTTCGTTTCACAGGATGCAACTTGTCATCTGCATATGTTCACTACTTTTCACTTTTTCAGGTTGAAAGTGATACCATTGGCCACTGCCCAGTCTTCCAGAAGGTTTAGATATTCCTGCAGCCCATCTGAGTATCCTGGACACTTTATTGCCCTCCATATTTTTATTTCGTCAGCGTATAGAAGATTCGGGCGGCTTAGGCGGCATGGTGGGTCATTGATAGAAGTCAGAAACATCAGTAGTCCTAAGACGGAACCCTGCGGCACTCCTGATGACGAGCCGTGTCAAGATGAACGGAATCGATTGACCTTGGTTCGAAATTTCCTCTCAGCTAGGTAGTCCTTCACCATAACAGAAACGGCCTACCTGTACCTGGCTGACTTATTTTGTGTAAGAGGGGGTCATTGTGAATTGTGTCAAATGCCTTCTCAAAGTCTAGGAAGACCACATGGACTTGAACATTCATATCCCAGCATGATGTTTAATCATCCCAAGCCGATAGTAGGTTTGTTACACAGGATCTGTTTTCCTGAAACCGCGTTAGACTTCATGGAACCTATTAGTCTTATCGAGGTGCTCCCTCGTGTGTTCGCCAGTAATACTTTCCAATACTTTTGATACCACTGGGAGCAGAGCTACTGGTCTATAACTAGTGGCATTTTGCCTATCCCCACCCTTGAAGATCGGGGAAGGGACAGCTCTTTTCCAGTCCCTTGGCAGTTTCCCCGAATCTATTGAGTGTTGGAACAAGTCGCACAGGGGCCTACAGAGAGCTGTGTCCGCCACGTCTCATAAACCGTTAATGCTCAGCTCTTGCTACGCTCGGGCCCACGCTGTTCCTTGAAGTTTTCAGAAACGCTTAGTAATAACGGACGAAAAAACCAAAACACCGATTGTTCGCTTGAGAATTCTTTATTGTTACACCAACATATAAAAATAATAATTGAACTAAGGTCTGAAAACAAATATTACAATAATAAATCATAATGTTACTTCTGACGATGTTTTACTCTTCTTTCTGAACAGCGACCGATGAGACGATGACTGTCGTATTGATGCCTCCGCGAAAATTGGGGAAGTTGATTTTGAGCAAACAACCAAGAATTGATCGTTCAATCTTCAACTCCATTGACACTCCCCGGCAAAAAAGGGATCCAACCCTTTTTTCCTTCACGACCAATACACTTTGACTTGGATGCCATTGCGAGAACCTGGGTCACACGGACAGAGCTGAAATGGAAAACAAACAGAAAAGCCAACACACCACAAGCATACCCACAGCACAATCTCACACATCAATGACGACCTGCGCCTCCAGACAGAGACCTCCTCTTGACATCTTGCAACACAATCGCCACTTGCTAGAATGACTCTTGCAGAATGCAACGTGACCATAGCACCAACTCATGATACTCTACGCACATCCTCTTATCTACTCACTACCAATTACCACTGAAATCGCTTGTCACTCATTCTGCCTCAGTTCTAGTAGCGGTGACGCATGCGAGCCTCAGTCGTTTACACTCTTTCTCCCCGGCGTGTCGGACCGCAGCTAACAATTATCTCCGTGTGCATTTCATTCTCAGCAATAGCCTAGCCTCCCCGGCGTATACGACCCATCTGCTGTCCTTAACATCAATCAATTCATTCATGGATGTAGAAGAGTCGAAACAACTTCAGAAGTAATCACGACGAAAATTTTAACAAAATTACGCAATAACAACAAGATACGAAAACAACGAGTAAACACAATGAATCCAAAAACACCAATTGATATGACACACCACACGTATATACAAACAGTACACACAAACTCGCAGTTCATGTCTTGATGGAATTCCTTTGAAGAATTGCAGGACTTACACCAGTACGCCTACAAACCTTCACAGGTTGACGATTGTAAGTTGTGGAATGTCCGGACACAAACAGAATTACCAACAGCTAGATGACAGATGATATCAATTCAGTATATACAATATGAACATATGTACAAAATCACACACCGAGCACATTGGACTGCTCATTGATGCGCTACCCTTTGAAGAATTGTAGGACTTACAGCAGTACGCCTACAACCCTTCTCAGGTTGACGCTCTAGGTTGGAAAATCATCTAGTGTTTCATCCTCCGACTCTCTACTCTCAGCACCTTCCAGGAGACACAGTTTTCTGATATCTCGCACCAACATGCCACAACTAGTTCTCACCTCAACCGTCCTCACCAATCCATCACCACTACAGATCAGCCTTACTACCACTCCCAAAGGCCACCTACCTGTGGCACATTTATCTGCTACTAATACTATGTCACCAACCTTTAAGTTTCGGCACAACTTTTTCCACTTGTCCCTGGTTTGCAATGTTAGAACATACTCCTTTAACCATCTTTTCCAAAATATATCTTTCATGTGCCTGGCTTGTTTCCATCTTTTAATCGTAGGTATTCCTTCCCCGCTTGCGTCCTCTATGCCAGGGTTGCCTCTCAATAACAATAATTTATTTGGGGTTAACACATCAAAATCCTTGACGTCGTCCCTCACAGGTGATAACGGCCGGTCATTTAATATTCGTTCAGCTTCACAAAAAAATGTCTCCAGCGTTTCGTCATTCAAACTCTGGTTTTTAATTATGGAGCTTAAAATACGCTTGATAATTCCTATAAGTCTTTCCCATAGCCCACCTCTATGGCTGGCATGTGGTGGATTGAAGTGCCACTCGATGTTCCTTTTCAGTAACTCTTCCTGAACTCTCGTTTGAGGACCTTCGAAGTATTCTTTAAGCTCGGCGTGACAGCCAACAAAATTAGTCCCTCTGTCGCTGAACATCATCTTCGGTACACCCCGGCGATTTATAAATCTATGTAATGCTAGCACGAATGAATCAGTAGTTAGCGTATGAACCATCTCAATATGCACAGCTCTCATTTTCAAACAGGTGAATAAACAGCCATATCTTTTACATAGGGTTCTGCCTCTCTTCACTACAAAAGGTCCGAACAAATCCACCCCAACGTACTCAAATGGATAATTCCCTTCAGAAGCTTGCCACGCTGGGAGTGGTGCCATCATCTGCTGTACTGGACGAGCATTTCGGAGTTTACATTCCATGCACTTATCAATTATTTTACGGACAGCAGTACCTCCCTTCACTATCCAGAACTTACATCGAATACTTGATAGTACTTGCGAAGTACCCAAATGACCTTCAAGAACATGGTAGTGTCTTATAATGAGATCAGTGACTGGATGGTAGCAAGGTAATAAAGCCGGATGACGGGTCTCATATGACGATTCTAACATTTGTAGACGTCCACCAACTCTAGCGATCCCTTCGGAAACTATCGGAGATAATCTATCTAACCGCACCTTGAAATCTGCGAAATCGGGACTATCCTCCTTGGCAATCTCACCCCACGCTTCCCACTGAGCAGCCCTCAAAATCGCTAACTCTGCATTTCTAATATCTTCGACTCTCAAAGGCCCCACATTCATATTTTCGTATCCCGCAAGATGCATGACCTTTAAATACGTAACATATCGTGTCAACCACGCAACCGCTTTCAGTAGTTTGTACCAAGAAGAATAATATTTAAAAAGTGGATGTAAACCTGAATGTCTTTCTTGAGTAGATGTTAAACTGACACTTGTCTTCAACTCCAAGGCACACTCGTTTATCGGTGGTTCATCTTCTCTACGAGGCCACATACTATCAGCCCTTAGCAAGAACTCTGGACCTTTCCACCACTTATTTTTAACCACATTCATATCAATAACTCCTCGCGATGCTAGATCAGCTGGATTTTTTCCAG